GCATTGTAACACTATCATAAAAAAGAAAAATTTGAAATAAGAACATATTCTGTACCACAGATGTAAGTATAATTTGAAATATACAAATGTTTCTATTTCTAAGGGAAATTATAAGCATTTTAATAGAATTTTTCTACTTTATTTACAGGTTCTGCAATAATAAATTTTATATATATAATTTTTCTACCTGTGAGTATGTGAGTTAACTTATCCTAAACAACTGGATTGATTTTGATGAAATTTTGTGATTAAGTTTATCCCTTATAAATAGTATAAGAATACGAATTTTTTTAATAAACAGTTGTCATTCATCATTTATATAAGTATATTGTAAATATTTTTTTTAATTTATATAACTAATAACACTTCTGCTAAGGAAAAAGTAAAGTTACAGCATAACTACATCCCACTACTGGGGTACAGGCCTCCTCACATTTCACAGAGGCTTAATGCAAGAAAATGTCTGCCTTGTGAAGTATCACATGTCTTCTTTCACCATTGATATGTGGTAAATCAGCACCTAAAATTGCAATGAACAATTTCATTGATGCAGCTGGGATCAAACCAGGGCATCTCACAGCATCTACAGCGAAATTTACAGAGCTCTTAGCCCCTGAGCTACCACAGCTTCTCTATACTGTTAGCAATGTTATTTTTAATAATTAATTGATGAATGAGATCAAGCAAGATATGGAGGTTTGTAATAATTCTCGTCCTGTTTGTTTGATTTCAGTACTCTGTACCTAGGGAATTTTACATATGACACTGTTTATATGCTTGTGGCCGTGGAAGGAAAAGGGGAGATCTCCCGCCGGGCAAGGTGTTCTGCCCGGGGAGCGGCCAACACTCTGAGTGATAGTTTTTTTTTTTTGCGCCCGAAGCAAATATGGGCAACCCTCCAGAAAGCGGGGGAGGGAGGCGGTGAATGCTCATAGCATACCACGCAGCCGGCTGCGTGGTTATGTGGAGACTTTTACCCACTAAACACCGCCTTTTAGGAATTGGCTTAACAATCTGACTAGAGATCTCTAAGCCGTATACGAACGCGACCCTCCTTGGCAGAAAGGAGGGCGCAAACGAGTGATAGTTCGGAGAAGTTCTATATATACTGTCTATGATTCGGAATGTTGATAGCGCGATTTAGGCTTGTGTTTCGCTTGTGGCGCGACGACAGCGCCGCTACATCACCCCCCTGCTAAGACCGGAGGTCGATAGTGCAGCCTCGTTGCTGACGAATGTGCAAGTGCCAGGAGATTGCCTTGTAGTCTGCGGTGAGTCGAGAAGAAGGCAAGTAATCTGCGAGAGTGCCGTGAGGCAGAGGCGAGCAGTAAGGCTCAGAGCCGTGCCGAACACTGTATAGCACAGAGAGTAGCTTGAAGGAACAGGAAGCATTATTATTCCAGTGCTGCGATGAACCTTGTGAAGCTAGCTGGCTTGCAGGATATGAAGACTGCAGATGATATCAGCTCGGTAGCGAATGGGTGGGGTATTTTATGATGATGATGAAGCTTGAAGTTTCCGAAGGTTGTTGGTTGCATGTTCAGATCACGTCAGTTAGGCACCACTGTGGCCGTGGAAGGAAAAGGGGAGATCTCCCGCCGGACAAGCTGCCCGGGGAGCGGCCAACACTCCGAGTGATAGTTCGGAGAAGTTCTATATATACTGTCTATGATTCGGAATGTTGATAGCGCGATTTAGGCTTCGGTGTGTTTCGCTTGTGGCGCGACGACAGCGCCGCTACATACTCTAATCAGAAATAAAAGGTGTAGAGCATCAGCAGCAGGAAATAGAGTAAATGGGGCCCTGCACTCTATTGTGAAGAGTCAAAATGTGTCAAAAAAGACACGTATGGCAATTCACAATGCTGTGTTGGTCCCTACTTTCACATATGGTAGTGAAAGTTGGGTGTGGCAGAAGAAGCACGAGAGTAGAATCAACGCAGTAGAAATGCGGTCCTTAAGGAGTATGTTAGGGCTGAATCTGAATGACAGGGTAAGAAATTGTGTAATGTGGAAAAACGAGGCGAGAGAGGTGTGTCAGGATTGTGTCAAATGGAAGTCTGTAGTCTCTGCCAGAGTATTTATGTTTATGTATGTAACCATCAGCAGTATTAGGAAAGTTGACTCCTTTTTATTTGATAAGTGGTAAAACTTAAAAATGTTGTACAACCAACTTCAATATAAATAAAATGAGAGTAAAATCAATGTAATCAAAGTTAAATATGCATTATTAAAGATAACTCAAAAACTACTGGACAAAACTTTATAAAAGTTATATAATACCACATGAGAAGCATCAGCTTTGAAATAAAAAAAGTCATCAAAATCAGTTCACTTAGAAAAACATTCTGATGTAACACATTTAAAAAATTCAAATGATTTGAGAACCTCCTTCTTTTGTGAAGTCTGTTGAAAATAAATGGAATCAATATTTAGTCACGTGGTGTAATATTGATATTCATTTATTTTTAATCCCTCAATCCTCTTAAAATTCCCATGCAGTCTCATATGTTTGTCAAATCCCGAGCGGTCGCATGCAACCACACCCACCCACAGCACTTTAAACATTAAAACTTATATTTATAGACTACTTTTATACAAAGAAGTTTGGCATTATAGAATCTATACGAAATTCTCTATCCTGTGGTCTAAACAAAAGTCAGTTACTCTATGTATTTTTTTTATTCTCCTGTCAATTTACGATATTCACCGACCATATGAAAATGGCTCAATTTCACAGTACATTAAAAATAAAAATTCATAGAGTAACTGACTTTTGTCTCGAATATAGAATAGAGAATTTTGTATAGATTCTATAATGCCAAACTTCTGTAAATAAAAATAGTCTACAAATATAAGTTTTCATGGGTTATAGTGCTGTGGGTGGGTGCGGTCTCATGAGACCGCTAGGGATTTGACAGAATATGGCCACGGTCTCATGAGACTGCTGATGAAAAAGAGGGGTTATGTTTAAAATGTGAATCTGTATGTTTGTCTGTGGCATCGTAGCTCCCAAACAGATGAACCGATTTAGATTTAGTTTTTTTTTTGTTTGAAAGGTGACTTGATCAAGCTATGATTCAAAAACATTAACATATTTTCAGCAGTTTGAAGATAAACAGCGGTTTTTAAAAAACTTAATTTAAGTTATCATAGTTTTCTTTTGGCGTCAACTATTGTTGACAGTGAATTTTACTAACCCTTGCATTGTACAGAGATTGTCAATCTAACTCAGTCCTCGTCCAGTACTGTACTGTACAACTGTTTATCGAATGTTTGTTTGCTGATGATGCAGTAGAGTTTCTCATCAACACTTGTAGTAAATTTAACCAATTACCTAATTTTTTATTATATATAACTTAAATTATTGTAGTTATTATGTGAATACTTATTCTATCATTCTTAGGTATTTTTTACTGTATTGATCAGCATTTCTCATGTTACAATATAGCAGTTACTCAAAATGAGTTTTTTACCAATAAATATCTTTGGGTAAGATATGTTTTTAATAAAAAAAATTATTAAGTAACACATAAAAATAAGAGAAGTGAAGCTTGCAAAACAATGTTATGACCAAAATGAAGACAGGAACCCTTTGGTGGTTTGGACTTATAGAAAGAATGAATGAGGAAAAAGTGACAAAGCAAAATCATGCTGCAGAAGGAGTGACAGAGTTGGCTAGGGATACCTTAATAGGATGTTCATCAATAAAATTGGAAATTATTTAGTTTACTTCGGTATTTTACATCTGAAATCAGTACTGTTTATATGCCAATACTAGTCAACCACCCCGGCTTTGCTCGAGTAATTTCTGAATCTCGACAACAGCGCCACCTACCAGGTCCAATTGTGAGTCTTAACCATTCTTGAAACAACTAAATCACACACACACACACAAAATTTCATCAAAATCGGTCCAACCGTTTTGATTTGGTTACATACACATGGTCAGAAGAATTATATATTTAAATATAATATGCATGTATTATACATATAAACCTTCTTCTTGAATTATTGTCTATTGACGAAAACCGAATCAAAATCCGTTGCATAGTTTAAAAGATCTAAGCATACAGACGGCGGGAAACAACTGTTTTGTACTATATAGATATAGAGATAATTTAATCAGAAATGAAAGGTGTGGAACATCAGCAGTGTTAGCCAAGTTGGCTTACTAGAACTGTTAATGCTTTTCTAATAGTGAGAAAATAAATTAAATCAACATTTAGTCACATGGTGTAATGTTGATATGTCATTTTCATTACTTTTTATAGTTTCTATTGGCATCAACCATTCCAGATAATGAAAATTAACTAAATCAAGAATACCCTTAACCTGAAGTGAAGCGAAAGGAGAGTGTCACAATTGTGGCAAATGGAAGTCCATAGTATCTGCCTACCCTGTTTCCCACCCTCTAGGTGACAGGTGTAAGTGTAGGTTTATGTATGTAAATATAGAAATTAATTCTTATTACATGATTATTTTAATGTATATTTTTAGTTTAATTGTGATAAGATAAAATGTTTTTTAATTTTATTTTATTTGAAAGTTATCCTACTAATAATCACTTTAATTGAACTAAAAATTCATATGCTAGGAGTGGATTATGATAGTAATCACAAAGAAGATTGGAACACATGATTTAGAACTTCGAAGCACCTATGCTTAAGCATTGGGCTACTGTTTTTTTTTTATAGAATAAGAGACGAATGAGCACACAATCAACGGGGTCAAGGTAAGTGGATGCTGTGGCCCATAGACATCTAAAATTATCCTCGATTAAGAATCAAAATGAAGATGCATTGTCACCTCTGAGGACTAAGATGGAATGCCTCGTTTCCAGGAAGAGGTTAACATCCTAAATATTTCAATTACTTAAATCAATTCTGGCCTTTATGTGTGATTCAGTTACAAACTTATCAACATGCAACTCTTATTAACAAAACCTAGTCATCATCCGAGCTAAACTAAGAAAAAATCTTAAAATTAATCTAAGCTTACCCTTTGCTGATATTAAAAGCTGTGATTCCACAACTTTGTTAGGCCAGTATTCCTCAAACTCTGTCCCGGGTGGGAAATAACTTTTGATGTCCGTTAAACTGATCACAGAACAAGTCTCACTGGCAAACAGTTCATTCCGTATCCCTTGCACTTTACAGCAGAACTTCAAGTATGATAGGTCCCAGCCTTTAAGCTGGTCCGCTTTCAACTTCAAATTGTCTGTTTCACCTTCAAAATAGAATAGAGGAACAAATTTCTGATTATCACGAACAGTATATGGAACAACTGACTCTTTGTTTATCCTAATGAACCCACACTTGTCCTTATTGTTTGTTGTACCACGTAACAACTTATTGTAACAAACGTCTAAGAAGTTATAGAACTCGTAAGCATCCGAGAGCCTCACTACCAAATCCTTCTGTGTGAATGGTTCACGCCCAAATTGTCCATCACAGTGCCTATTGTTGATTTCATTCAGTAACCGTGCTTCTATTTCCGTTATATAGTAACTTCTAATACATGTACAAGAGTAGATATCTGCGTGTAAATAGTTCAGGTACTTGTTGAGGAGTTTGATTTCCACCATGCGGACGGCTACATACTTTTCGCCCGAACGGTAGATGTATGGAATATGACATTTGCCAAGCATATCCCATCCAAAGTGACCTTTCCAACTAGCTTCATCTGGTGCTGGCGTCTTCTTTTCGTCAGGGGCGGGTCGCTGCTGCTCATTGTTCGCACCAGGTTTACGGGTCAAGAAATTAAGGATGCCCATTTGCCCGCCCGCGCCTGGTGGTCCAGCACCCATCATGGCACCGGGTGGCGGTCGAGCGGCCGCTGCAGACGCCGCCAAAGCCTTCGCTTTATTAGCTTCCACCATCTTTGCAGCCAATTCCCTAATCTCCGCCTCATCAGGCCGCTCGGTTTTTACCTTAACCGTTGATGTTTCAGTCATGATGCAGGTTGATAAGCCACTATACTGAAAATCACATTCACAACTAGTCCTTCATATCCTTCTTATGATGGACACGACTACATCATGTCCGTTTGTCACAACAGCATCACAAAAACAGTGTTTACATTAGCACTGACACTGCACTTCGTAAAATATATAAAAGTTACTTCACTTGACAGGTTACGCTTCAATTCTTGAATCCAATTGAGCATTCGATCTTTAAAAATTACTGAATGAAAGACCAACTGTATAGCAGCGTGTTCATGCAAGCGATGGCTTGCGGCGACTAAGGTGGAAATGGAAAATAAACTTCCGTTTTTGTAACTTTTGAAAATGATAAATTTCCCGGCAATCTTTCAAACGTCAAAACTTTGGCTGATTCTGATGTTTTTGGACATAATATATTTTTCAGAAAAATACGCTTCAACATTCACGCTTTGGTTGAGGGAACATGAAACCCAAATTTTGTGTTCACGAGGGAAATGTCCAATACCGTTGTATAGTCTCGTGGGGAGTGCGCTTCATGTATATTTTTCACCTTTTGGTGACTCAGCATTCAACAAAATGGCTGCCGACAAGGCTTTGTTGGCCAATCGAGCCAAAGCTAGCGGTAATACATATACCTACAAAAATCCCGTCGATGACGTAGACGCACTCCTTACGAGATTAGTTCTCAAGGACTTTTCATTTTTAGCTTCTAAACTATGAAGTTATTTTTGGATTTACAAAAGAAAACCACAAAATAAATATTAAAAAAAAATTAAAGTATTTATATGATATCTGGTTAATATCTTACGTTTACTTAAAATTATTACTGATTTCAAAAAATATTCATGAATGTACTCTTACAAAGTAGGTAGTCACTATGGATAGTCTCGTAACACTGTCCAATTGCTCCAAGACGTTTTACTTTTATGGACTATTCTAAAATCACCTCTATTGCTATTAAAATACAGTCTTATAATGCAACGGTTCAACTATAAATTCGGCTTTAATGCCTCTCGTAACGAGACTAGCCGACGCGCGCATTCCACGAATAATAATCCCCTGCATGAGTGAGCGGGACAGGAATAAGTAAAAAGTAGATGTCAAATGTTTAGGTATTTTACTATGAACGTAAAGAGAACGTAGGTAGCTAGATATATAATGCAATTACAAGTTTACAAGCTTACGTAAGCACATCTAACCTACTTAGAAACAAAGTATCAAAGTTAACTGTTTTGGGCTAAAATTAAGCTAAAAAAAGTTATGCACTCCAAAGAAACTAGCACAATAAGTATATTATATAAAAATAGATTAATTAAATACTATGTTTAACGTAGGTATATTTACCTGTTTACAATCAATAAACTGATGAATACCTACTATACATGATAACATACTGTATATTTTATATCTATTTCTTGTACATTTATTAACATAAAGGAGAAACATCATTTACCGGTACAATAGTGCATAAGTAGATAGATCTAAAGAAAAAATTGCGAGTTTACATCGATTTAGACACAACAAGATCTATTTGTACTTCTTAGACTACTTAGGTACTTATATTTTTATGACTTTTAATTTGCATATCAGAGCCGTTTATATTAGCTTATACAATTTTTTTTAAATAAGATCAAGTTCTGAATTACAAATAGAATTATATTTATACTAAAAGCCTACGACTTAGAACTACGCAGACATATCGGATAGTTTGTTATATTTTGTTAGGTAAGTAGGTACCTACTTAGTTTATTAATTAATCGATAAATCCCAACAGCTTAACTCTAAAGAGTTATTACTGCTGCTTTCCCTCTGGGTTTAGCAAAATTGCTTACATGCCATTATTTAATGTAAATAAAGTTAACATTTCACTCTCGTAAAGATTATTTCCAGTCATTTGATTACCTGATTGTAATTTACCAATAGACAGACTATCCTCGATTAAGAATCTATCCACCTAAAACAATATAATGCTTCGTTTCCAGTGAAAAAGGTTTTCCGATATCCATACTCTCCATAAGTTGCTATTGTACCTACGCTGGTATTCTATAAGAGCGCTATCATTCCTCGACCAAGCGTGCAGCAGTCTGGCTCTACCACGTTTAAACAACAATTTGTTAAAAACAATTCAAATAGGTACTTATTGTACCATGATGTGCTGAATTATTCAAAGATTAGAATATTCTACCGATAAATGCTATTTATAGGAAAACCCTATAATTTTTACAAAGAAAAAATATTTCTTAAAAATGAAACAAGCGATTTAACCACAAATATATTTATAAAATTAAGTCATGGCTTTAGTTTTTTTTTCGTCGTTAATTAAGATTTAAATTGTGGCAAAAGTTGACCGGAACGGTTGTGTTTTAACCGCTTACTAATTAATTGTAAATACCGCACAATTAATTCGTATCTAAATCTAATCCAAGTTCAATTCTATATTGAGGCAATTTTTTTACGCATAGAATGTGTAGTGATCTACTGATAAATTCTGATTTTATTTCTGATACTGCATTTAAACCTTTCTATGATCGTATTGCCTGGGTTTTGATTTACATGCATAATATATTGAAGTAAGTGGAATATAACAAATTTTACGGACATCGCGGTTAATTTTAAGTTTTTTTTATTTCCCAACGTTTCGGGCACTTTACACTACGGAGGAGGGGGGTTGGGGATATAGTATGTGAGGGTAATATGGTATTATTTATGGTATTATAATAGAGTATTTCTCATAGGTAACTCAAAAACTACAGCATATTTGGCTTCGTGATAAGATAGGTAGCTCTTTATCGGTCAATCAAATAATAAAGGGTGAAAAGGGCGATGTTTTATCAACATCGAGATAGGTACTATGTCACGGTAATTTTTATAGATAAAATTACCGTGTCTATGTTTAATTCAATGTTTATCAACGGCATTTTGACAGTTATTCAAATATATATTTGATATACCTACCTATTTAAAAACCATTTTTTAATATATCAATGGTGTAGTGTACCTAGTTAGTTTTTTAAGTACCTACCTCACTGAGTTATACAACACATGCGTTATATAAATCAATGACCTACCTAGATTTTTAGAAGTGTTCCTAATTATTGCCAAAGCTTGTTTGCTATTTTTTTTTTCTTAATATATTAGTTGTAGTAGGTATACTTTGTGTTTCTGTCTCTGTCCTCTTAGTTTTGGTTTAAAAATATATATTATACATAATTTTTGTTAGGTAACTATCGCTAAAAACTTTGTCGGGCTGCTCAATTTCAGAGACTTCCCTTGTTGCCTCAGCCAGTACCGGAATTATCAGCGTCGACATATCTGATGATGTGCAGTTTGTGGTCAACTTGGAAGAGAAGGCTAAATTGGTTTCTAAAAACTTGGCCTGCTCTGCAGAGCGGGACAGTACCTATTTCATGCCGGCACACCGCTTGCAACTTTACAAGGCGTAGGTAGGCCTCACATGGTATACTGTTGTCATCTCTGGGCCGGAGCTCCTCAGTGCCAGCTCCTTTCACTTGACCGCATCCAGCGGATAGCCGTATGAAGAAGCTCGAAGTCGTTTAGCGAGCTATGGAGAGGGCTATGCTTGCGGTTTCTCTGCGTGATAGACTTAAAAACGAGTATAGCCGCAGTAGAACCAGAGTAACAATGAAGTGGCAATTGACCGGTCATATAGCTCGGGGAACGGACTGCCGATGGGGTAGAAAGTCTCTAAGTGGCAGCCTCGTACCGGCTGGTGAAGTGTAGATCATCCATCATCCCTCTAGAGAGAGTGACGACCTGGTAAGAAATGCAGGAAGTCGATGGATCCAGGTGGCTCAGGCCATACTTTGTGGCATGCCTTGGGAGAGGCCCATGCTTAGCAGTGGACTTGTGTTCCACAGCTGAACATAGGCCTGTGTATTTGTGAAGGTCTGTTATGAATAAAAAATGAATGAGATGGTTATTCGAAAGGAAATATTATTTTCAATTATTGGTTTTATAGGGCGTCAAAAGCTTTGACTCTCTATAAAACCAAAACTAAGAGAAGGACAGGAACAGAAACACAAAGTCGTATACTGCAACTAATATATTAAAAAGGTTTATTGCAATATATATATATATATATATATATATATATATATATATATATATATCTATCATGTGTAGGATTCAACCAAATATATAAGTTTATTAGGCCTGTATACATTATCGCTACTATGATTTAGATATCCATTAACTGATATAAATGGCTATAAATTAAGGTATTGACATTAACATCATCATCATAACGTGATCGTCATCATCACGGGATGTGAAGCGTTTATATATATAAACAATTAGGATTACCATATAAAAGTTAGAACAAAAAGGGGACGGTAAAAGTGGGTCAGACATTTTTATTTAAAAATCAGAATTGTGACATTGCATTGCAGCTTAAGGTTATAGCTTATAGCCTATATAATACGTCTAGCTGCTGGGCACAGGCCTTCTTTCATTTCTGAGAGGGTTTTAGGAAAAGGAAGTGTTCGCATGTAGATGTCTATCAGCTACAGCAACCACTTACCATCAGGTGGACTGTGTGCCCGTTTGTCACCCTATTCTATAAAAAAAAACGAATGTTCTCCTGTGCAGGACGCACCACTGAATACGTAAATATCCGTACATAGATATCGCCTTTAGTTTTTTCATAATTTGAAGTAGATATCTAAGCCATCAGTTTAATATTGTATACATAATGATTTCTTGATCTCTATAATCTTATTTATTAGTATCTTAGTATCTTACTTACACAAATACTACACTGAATAAAACTAAGTTAATGGATAGAGCGACGCTGCAACTATATAATGACTGTAGCACGGATGGGTCAGCTCGACCGGGGTTCACGCTCTCACATAATACTAGCGTAAATAGCAACTGTGTTTCATGTAGTGGGTGTAAAGAACCGGAGACCCTTTTTACTGGAAATGAGGCATCGCATCTTTTTTTTTTTTTTTTTTTTTTTTTTTAATGTTAGTAATCTTATTAATTAACAT